AAGGGAGAGGGAGAGAGATAGAAACATCAGTGATGAGAGAGAATCATGGATTGGCTGCCTCCCGCACAACCCCCACTGGGGATGGAGCCCGCAACCCGGGCCTGTGCCGTGACCAGGGCTCCAACTGTGACCTCCTGGTTCCTAGGTCGATGCTCAACCCCTGAGCCCCGCCGGCCGGGCCAGCCCTGACTGTTTAACCGAACACACAGCCGGCCGCATGGAGAAGCTCTGAGATTTTCCCAATCCTGTCGTAAAAATTAAAAATTCACCTCGTGGAAGTAAAAGGCAAGTGTAACCAACGGGGAGTTGGCTCGGCCGCCGGAAAGCTGACGAGAAAGCACTTGGTGCCTCGCCGAGCGCCCCACGCCGCCCACAGCGCCCCTGACCCGTCTCAGAGCGACTGGATCTCAGACCTCAGAGCCCCTGCCCCGCGGGCAGCCAGCCCTCCAGGCCCCGGCTCTCCCGCCTGTGCCCGGGGCGCCCACTCAGTCTGCAGAAGGAGCTCCCTACAGCTTTCCAACGTCCACCCACATCTCTGCGTGGCCCCCAACCCAGGCTGCGGGGCTCGCGTGACGCCGTGGGAAAGTTCAGTCTCCTGGCAATGCCCACTCCTCTGAGCGGAACGAGGACCCAAAACCGCAGGCCCCCACCCCCAGTCGTAGGAGCATGAACAGACTAGAACCAGAGGGACGCAGGGGGCGGCGGGGAGAGAGCGACCACCGAACTGGGTGCATGTTTGCATGACCGCGGACGCAGGCGTGGGGTGGGGAGGCCTGGGGCAGGGCAGAGGCGGGTGGGGAGGTTAATGGGGGAGAGGAGGTCCTCTGTGACACTTTCAGCAGTTAAGATTCAACACACGTGCGTGCACGCACACACGCATGCACACATGCACACGCACACGCACACGCACGCACACACACACAGATGATGGCTACACAGGCCGCTCAGTGTCGTCTATATCATCTGCACTGGAGCGCGCTGTAGAACTTGGCGCTAAAATTCAAGCCGTGCCCATGGCCCTGTGACCCTCGTGTTTCTCTTAGGTGACCCCATCGGTCATCTCGCTGAAATAATTGATGACACTCATCTGGGAGTGTGTGGGCCATTAAGCAAAACCCACAACTGCACACGCAGAGTGGATCCACGCACCGAGGCCCAAGACATTGTACATGCGAGCTCGTAGGACCCTCATGTCACTCAGAGCTCAGGCGAGAGGTCTGTGGCCCGTGCTGCACAGGGGACACTGCCTGACCCTGACTCTGGGCTTGGCCACGAGATTCGCTTTGGCCAAACAGGTGTTGTCAGCAGACCCAGCAGGCACAGAGCCGAGATGTGTGCACAGAGGAGTCCGCCCTCTCGCCCTGGCCATCTGGGGGCTCGGCCCCTTCCACCTGGACCCAGATGGAGACACATGCACAGACCACAGGCCCTGGTGGCTGCTCATCCACGTAGGATTGGTGACATGGGGGCACACCAACCCCAAACCGCAGCCTGAAGTCCAGAGCCAGGAGCTGACAATCCACGCAGTCCTCCTGAGTGGCAGCTGCCCTGAAGACCAATGAGAGTGACCATAAGTCATTGTCGGTTTAAGCTACTGAACTGGGGAGCCGTTTGTTATGCAGCGTGATTGCAGCAATAGCTGACTGATACAAGATCCACGCTCATACACAGTCTCCATAGACATTCAACTCACACGGCATTCATTGGAACACACACATCTCTCTCACACGCACACACACACACACACACACACACACACACACCTTTGCAAGGAGCACAGGAGGCCACGGTCGCAGGAGCTAGAATGGTGCCCCCCAGCTGGCCTGTGGTCCTCTCTCTGCAGTGTCTGCAGAGCCGCCATCGGGCACCACCTGGCCGCCCAGAGCCCAGCCTTGTCCACGGGCCCCTTGCCAGGGAGCTCAGGACTCGGCTCCCCTCTCCTGCCGGTTGCCCTCACACCCTCCCCCCTAGAATGGTGCTTTGGCAGCGCGGGCGGCTTTCATCCCTTCCCTTCCTACCTCGGCTGGCGAACGCCTGTCAGACTCGGGACAGCCCCTCCTCCCTCGGGGGACGAGAGCTGGATGCACGCACACGAACTCGAGGCGTGTGGATCTTTCCCTCCTTCCTGTGGGCGGCCCCCGTGTCCGCCTGCTTGTCCAACCACCCTCGCAGCTGCTCCGTCACCTAGCGGTGACCTGACCGTCCTCTTATCAGAGGGGAGCAGGCGCCCCACCTCGGGCCTGGGAGCCAGGGGTGGGGGAGGCAGGGCGGGAAGGCGGCCCCTCCCTCTCAGGCTGGAGCAGGGCAGGGCCCTGCAGGCCGTGGGGCTACAGGTTCTGCGGCTTCCTGACCTAGCTCAGCACAGGAGCGGCGTCATGCTGGGAGGTCCTGGGAGGGGGGGCCGAGACAGCCCTTGGCTTGGGGAGAACCCCCCCACCGGGGAGGATGGATGCTGTCTGCCAGGGACCCCACCCGTTCACTTAGGAAGCTCTGGTGGAGCCGATGGTGCCGGGCCCAGGTGGGGAGACCATGAGAACAGACCGTGAGGATCCAGTGGGGGCGCAGCTGGGTGTACCCCCCACCCCAGGGAGCTCAGGGAGGGCCACTCTGGGCACACCCCCCCAGAGAGCAGCGATGGGAAATGAGATGACAGGGGACAGCGCTTCGTCCAGGCGGACACAGCCCTTCCAGTTCCCGCTTCCCTTCATGTGCGTTTGGAAGGAATGCCAGGGGATGGGGTGAAGTCAGGAGCACAGACGCTGGGAGCAAAGCGCACTCCCCCCGCC